AAGAGATAGAATTTAACTCCTCTAAAAGCTACCACTTTCCCTCGGGTAAACGTGTTGTGCCGTCTCGACTCATCCTTCCTCCTACGGTGTTTCCGAACATTCATTAGTTCGGGATTCGAACTACTCGGATTGAAGGTACCCACGTTCCATAGAATAGCACCAGGTCGTGATGAATACCAAATATACTTGTACTTTTCACCTCATGAAATTGTGTACGCACTGATTTATTACCAAATCCCCTCTCAAGAAGCCTGTAATGCCAGTTCATGTGTAGCCTCAGTTTGTGTTCGTTTCTGTAAGTTAACTTACCTCCTCTCTTCATCATTCAGCGTAACTACTTCTTTAACCATCGACTGATCACACGTGAAATTTAATAAGAATCCTCCATTACTCACATGAAATTGACAATTCACAAGCACTGATGAGAATGTCACCCTGGGCTGGTGATGATGAATCGTTTGCAAACAAATTACGAATAGCTCGGCGCGAACAGGGGTGAAACGGAATTCATTTCACCCGAGAGCTACGAGAACCGATTTGCAATATGCGTCTGTTGGTACTACAAATGCGTGCTGTTTCACGGAGCACAGAACACGGCGGGATGAAACGACACAATCCGAAACATTTCCACTGATTGTTTCAAAGTCTGAAAGATTTCCATCAGAGTATTTAGACAAACAAAGATTGTCAGAACAATTGTTTTCCAAGAATTCCTTTTCTAGCAGTTTTTATAGATAATATTAGAAAACACATCACCCAGTTAGAGACATCACTAATCGCGGGTAAGAGTTTATCACTGTCAACCGATAAACGCTTATCCATGGCGGGTGATAGAAGATGTTACAAATAAATCTAAAAACACTTTGGGGATAAATGAAAATCTACAAGCAAAAAATTGAAAGTAGTTATTCTTTTAAATTTCCCATGTTCACAACAAAACGAACAATGCATCTAGTTAGGCATTGTCGGATTATATGATCCCCAATGGATGCCTGCTTTCTTCCACAGTATCTGTGAATTAGATATTTTCAATGCAACGTCCAATCGCTCGATAATAATTATTTGCTCATGAGAAATGCAGTTCAAAGCTCTCGTCCACTCTGTTCCAAATCGTCACACCTAATGGGCAAAGCACTCTATTCACCCATATCCCTCTATCCCGCTCGGGATTGGACGTTTCGACCAGAAACGAACTGTGACAGGGGAATTTGGATTAGAAAAACGTCCGTTATCAGACTCCTTCACTCTCTCTCTCGCGCGCGCTTTCTCTCTGATACATTTCTTGCCTCAGCAGGCACTACGTTATATTCTATCTGGTTTCATTTTAATACGGTTCGATGTGATTGCTGTGCTTATCATGTGTGTTACAAGTCACAGGGGAGTTAGTTGCTCATTCTGTTTGATATCGTCCTCTAATGCGAGAATGTCCGCTAGTCAGGATGAAAGACAAAATACGGAGGGAGAAACCCAATCCTCTCAAATCCTTCTACTCCAACTAACAAAGCTCTATTCTACGCGGGCATACACACACACACACACAAAAAAAAAAATAAACAAATGTATTTGCATTAGAAAACATTTGGAAACAGCATCAAACAGCATGTTTCACTGACCGACCTGAATCTGGACGCTTTTTGCACATCAGTCCGGGTACAAGCGTTTTCTCCTTCGCTCTCTCTCACTGTCTCTCTTGCTATTGCTTACTATTCAAACTTTCTGTTCATCCGAGACTCTTTTNTCGTTTGTTTCGCATTACCCATCAACCCGGCGAAACACACATCACCCTGGCGCTGGTCGTCGTCTTCGTCGTCAGGAGTCCCACTGGTCACAACTAGAAAAAAGCGACGTTCAATCAGGAGGAAACAATGAGACCACATATCCGGAACGTGAGATCAGGCGACGTGAAGCTGTCTGGGAACTGTTCAAGAGTGAACTCATTTTTTTCCTCGATCATCTTATGGTACTGAAGAATGTGAGTTACAATCATGCTTGGGTTATCCCTATTTCAGTGAATGAACGCAACCCGGTGATGGAGTATGTGATGAAAAAAACAAATAGCTGTGACAATCGTTTCAAACCCCCTACAGTGTTGTTTCAGTAGAGACGCAGGTTATCTTGATTGAAATCGTGTTGCTCGCTTCACTCAGATCCGCTCAGAACGATTCAATTAATTTTTCTTCGTTAAAAGTGCTCATCCGAAAACCGTTTTCGTTGTCCTTGAAACACGCTATCCGATGAGTACAAATGGCTCAGAATCCAAATCAAATTAGTGCCGCCTGAGAAATTGAATTCCACCAATAATTCACATTATTATAAATGACCTGTTCTGTACGGCATTGTACGGCAATGAACGTTTACCTTCATTCGTGGTGGTCAATCACGTTGTCATCTGAAACAATACCACATTACCCAAAACAACCGAGCGTGAAACTAAATACTACAAGGCATATCAATTAAGCGCCTCATACTCACATCCACTGTCCAGTTGCTTTCACGCCAATTGGCCAGTGTAATTGCAAAATTGTTCTCGTGCGTCAATGCTTCCAGTCAATGCTTACCTCCCACCTATGATCCTCTCGTCCGAAACCCATTTTTTTGCTGTACAGAGTTAACGATTTTTCCCTGTTTCATCAACGTATACCCAAGAAACCGATTCTGTTACAGGCCGAAATGCATCCTTGTGTTACTGCTCTATAGTGGATTTGAAACTGTACGGTGACGAATTACAGTCACCCTTTTTTTGAAGCTCTTTGGATTTGCAATCTTCAATCGACTCACCAACAGTTTTGTGCTTTGCACTGAGACTAACAGCCAAATCACCGGAATAGTCTCCATATTCAAAACATCAACTGGTTGGCGCACACAAACACATACACTTCGAGACAAGCTTTTCCATGGGTCGTGAGGCAAACGCATTTGCAATTGGGACGGGCTTATCACAACTGTTCTCCATCCGCATCCGTGCAACCCCTTCCTCTGCCATCCCCTGCTCCCGTCCCAGATAGTGCAGCAATGCAGCGGATGACGAATTTGACTCGCTATTAGATTCCAGTCCTAATCTTTCTACCTGTATACCATTCTCTATCTTGCTTTGTTGGCTAATTGTAAAATTGCCTCGCGGTCCTTAATTTTTACCTTTCATATATATATCGTCCCAACATTTTGTTCTCACCGCGTATTCTGACGTAACAATTCCGCGGACTGGAATGGCTCATCTGCTTTCATGTCCTGGTCGCGATCGTGGCTCTCTTTCTGACCCGTGGGCTTTAGGCATTACGGCTTTGTAGAATGTGCCCCAGAGTCAGCACAAGTTCTCCGCCCCTCCCCGAAACTGACGTGAAAGAGGAAGCTCTTTCTGCTTCCCGCATCTTCACCCATCGTTTTTCCTTTACCCAAACTGTCCAACTTCGTCCTACAGTTTCTTCTCTAAAATCACAATCGGAAAAGTTGATCACATTCACTGTTGGATACGTACAAGCCACCCGGTCCTGATGGTAGGCTTCACGATTGTACTGAGCAGCTTTTTTCTTTCAGCTCATTTTTTCTCAATCTCTTTATGAACCGGTTTGTTTTCCAGTAAGTGAGAAACTGTTCACGTCTTTTCGCATTTCTGGGATCCTCACCCATACAGTCTTTACTTTCTAGCCCGCCAAATTGATCTAAATTAATCGTAAGTATAACTTCACTGTAATGTGGAATGCCATCAGCTTTGCAACCGCACCCGATATGGCTCTGTCTATTGCCATAACTCAAGATCAATTCACTCCCGGTGGCTCATTGAATTCGAAGCTGAATGTCAGCGAGGCTTAAAGCCATAAGAATTAACCCTTTTTCATTGTAGCCTAAATCTCTTGCGTACGTATACAATCCACAAACTTACTCACTTTACCCCTAATCTGCAGTCAGACTGTTATTCATTTGAGTTCAGTCACGCACGCACAACTTTACTTAATCTCGTCTTGATTCATGCATTCTGTTCAAGTTCCCTCCCTCCGTTCCACCAAACACACACTCCCCCGCCAGACCTATTTTCCAATTTTCTTTTTTCTGAACTTCTCAGTGTTTGCGAATTCCAATCACTTCCCACCATGAAATATTTTACCTATAGTTGGATAGTAGTTGCTTTTTGTTGTTCCTCATTCGTTTTGAATCGTTTTCGGGTGAGAGAAATTCAATCTCTCACTTGATTTTTCCCATCACCCACACTTAAATGATTTGTTTATCATCATGCCATCACCACGTGTTCTCTTTCCATCGTTACCACGACAATGTCGCTTCATGGAGGCTTGCGATCCCATGCGAAATTCCCCTCCACTTTCGGACGAGATTTGATCACAAGTGTGCAATATCACCATTGCTGGGTGGCTCTAAAACCTGCTGAACAGCATAATTTACATCCCCGTATTGTCACAAACAGTGAACTTGTCACAGCAACTCTCTACTCAATTTTCGGCCCATTTATTTTTCCTCATTCCACATTCAGGATTGAAATCCACCAATTCTGTGTTCCATGTGAGTAATGGACTATTTTAGTCAATTTCGAAGGGAAAGTTCGTCATGCACACAACAAATGAAGCGTGAACTGAAAAGCTAGGAATTACTGTTGGACATCTGTTTCGACCTGATTAGATCTCATCAGCAGTACCAATACATTGAGTCAACTGGGGATCCAAACCGAGGCCTCTTGCGTAGAGATGAGCGAGGTCTGTGACCTGCAACAAGCTAGCAAAAGATGCGGTGTACTTTATAGTGTAAAACGGAAAAGGAAAAACGGTCTGATCAGCTTCTTGGTTGCCGAGTGAGTAGCATGCTTGCATGCTTTCGGTGATGTCCCGTGTTCGATCCTCATTTAGGTCGATAGAAATTCGCTGCTCGGATGAGATCGAACCAGGTCGGAACAGCTGGCCAACACTGCTTTCAAGCTTTTCAGTTCACGCTTCATTAGCCATAGACATGAAGAATTTCCCCTTTGGAATTCTGTGTTTGTTGAGTGTTCCCTTATTTCTACCACACACACTCATCTGGATGGTTATGCGATTTACCCCTTCACTTGATATCATACTTTGTATGAACCGCATAATCCGGAATATTATACACAAAAGCAATTATAAATGTATCGATACCGAAAAAAGACAGATGTGGTGAGATGGTTTGCTTCCCATAGTTCTTTCTAACTGTACTTGCCCGTTCACTAGGATTTAAAAATCCAAAATGCTACAAATGTGCTAGCTTATTTTATATCAGCGATTGAGAAGATTAAACGAAATGCTAACATCCCACGACACGTCCTATTTCGGTCTAGTTGCGATAGATAAAGGGGACCCAGTGTTCCAATTTTAAATGTCCAACAATCGTGACTCACTGCATTGAACAAATTTCAAGCGCAATTTAACCAGTAGATGTTACAACTCCTAAGATGCAAGATAACAACTATCTCATACAATTTAGCCCGCCTTCGCATTTCCCCCTGGAGAGAACCAATACTGGAATGTTAAGATAACCTGTCGATACAAAAAGAGTAAAGGTCGTATTCGATAATTTTGCCTTGCTTCTGGTACAATCAAACAACTGCCGAATTTTAAAAGCATATGGTAACTTGGATGAACTTTCTACAGATAATGCACTATCGTTTCTTTAAATTGTTGTTTGGCAGATTTGAAGTTTGTATGTCAATTGTGGAAAGTTTAGTAGCCTCGGTGGGATTCGAACCCACGCATGGATGCCGCCTACGCTTTGTAGGCTCATGCTCTACCAACTGAGCTACGAGGCCACACCAATGGCACTGTCTTAGAAGCTCATTCGGTGGACTCCGGTGAATTCTAAGGAATTCAGGGAATGCGATCAGGCAAGATGTGAACACTTTCTTTATAAGTACTCGAAAGAGAGAGAGAGAGAGTGAGAAGAGAACGTAAATGAAAGAGTCTCAAATGTTGGGTTACAGAGTGGGTCAGGTCACACACACCTCTGATTTGCGTCACAGTTGGATGCCAAGAAAAAGGTTTCGTCTAACCTTTATTTCTGTGACCGCTCAATGCCGATTTATTTGCTTGCCATTTCCACGCTACAACCCGATCCCATTTTCGCTGCTTATATGAACAATGAAGCTTACGCACTCTACTAGTCGCAAACAAATTAACGTGAGCACATCAGGGACTAGGAATGATTCGTTTCACGATCAACTATTCGGATTACCACTCCTTTCTATGTAATTGGTATCAATAGTTGTTTTTCAACAAAATCCCCGACAGATCATAACTCAATTCCACATGTAAAACTGATTTTTAACGAAACAATGGAATCTGCAGGTGAAATTTTAATAGCATACTTCACTCTCATCTGTACAATCGTGGTAGCTCGGTATTCACACTCAGTGTGTTGTATTCGTTTCAATTCACAGTGCTTCATGGAACCGCTAAAGAAACTCCAGGTGGATGGATATCTCATGTTTGTGGAACCGTCCAATCTGTTTGGTAATTTGGACGATTTGTGCTACGTAAGTGTTCACTTGTCCGCACAATATTCCCTTCAACGACTGTTCACTCCGGTCGCTCTACCAATGCCAATTGGTTTGATAAAAATCTCTGGTGAAACACAAAAACAACGCGTCTGGTTTTGTCGCCCACTGTCTCTTTCTCTCACACACGTACACGGACACCTGTTATTGTGGCAGCTTTGATAAAATCAACCGCAGGAAAACGTTTTGATGTCCAGTGGAGTAAAATTATTCATTTATTTATTATTTTGTTTGGTTCCCCGCTGTTTGTGTCCCACATTTGTAGTCTGCGAAACACTTTTTTCTGTAACTCTTTCACAATTGGCACATAAACATCATCAGAACCATGATAACGATATTTCCCGGTTAAATGCATGTGGAAACCAAATTGTTTGATTGGCGTTCTTTTTTTTTGATAAACATTCCCCCCGGATAACGCATAGTTTTCATACTGATTACCTGTTCCTCACAATCTATCCTTTCGTTCAGGTAACTCACCCCGGGAAGGAAGGTACACAAAGCCTGCAGGGTACAATCACCACTCATTGTGAATCTATTAGTGTTTGTGTTCATTTGTTTAGGCCCACTTTGTTCGAGGACAGTACTGAATTGTGATTCGGATAAAATATTGTCATCTAGTTTATTTTTTTCTTCTCAACGGTTCACCAGGAAAGTGGAGAAGTTTGACCTATTTTCACAATCCCCATATTGCTGAATGGTGTGATGTTCATCAAAAGGTGGATACAATCAATACACGAGGATTCAACCATCGCTTGCTCGCTGATACTGTCGACACCACCATCGCCTAATGAGACCATTTAAAAACATTTACATTCCAAGCGGTTTCTAGTTGGATATGAGCTCGTGAGTGACCTTATGCTGTGTCAGAAGTGCACAATCCAATGAGGACACCTGTTTGAAAGATCATGATGCGACTGTTTTCAGTCTAATCACCGATAAGCCGATCCAGGTTACCAGAAGGGGCTGAAATTAGGTTGTCTGTCTCATCTGTTACCACCGTTCGTCATAATTATCTGAAATCGTGTGTTACAGTTTCCCGGGACTCGATTCAATCGCATTGGCTGCACACACAAACATTTTCGCGTATGCGGGTGAGGGGGTGGCGGGTGAAGGAGAGAGCAATTTAGGAACTGAAAACCTACAAGTTGAATGCCAAGTTGATTGCGTTTATAAAATTCCTTTTCTATGAACAATAGTTGTTTCAAATCTGGGGTCAAATGAAATCAGTTCACTACCCGAGCAATTCAATCTAGCCTGTGCATTTCGTCGCTTACGGATAAAAGCTGTCCGTTTCCACTCGGTTTTTTAAATGGTTCGTCTCAGACCACAGACCGTTAATCCTCCTTCGTTCGTTTCTATTTGCACTATTCAGGTCAGTCACACGCTGTGTCGTGAACTGATCGGCAATTTGACTCGAGATGCCAATCACAAGGAATTCGGAAGCACCGATGTGCTCCTCAGGCCACTGAAACGAGTAAGTCGGTTTGACCGGGGAACCCAAGGAGGCAATGTTCCCTCCTATTGACCTCACATAGTTCTTTTGTTTTGTTTCTCAGAGATCACGTGTACCTAAAGTTTCCATCACATGGCTGGAATTAATTCACTTACTATTTTTGTTGTTGTGTAGAAAGGTAAACGAAGGTCACAAGTTACCGCTTCCAGTCGATAGGTATCGATGTTTCCAACGCGCTGTCTACCGATCACCACGATCATAACACCACACGCGTTCACTGAAGACAGACAATTTAGTTTTTGTGCTCAAAATGAAACAAAGATTTGAATAATTGTTTCGTGTTTTACACGAATAATCAATTAACAATTCATTTGATAAATCAGTTCTTTTTCCTCGTTACAAATCACCAAATACTCGCGATCAATACGGAGCAACCGGAGGTCATGCCTACTCCTGAAACGTCTGTTGGTGAACTATTTGATAGATCGCTACAATAATTTGCTTTCTTTCACTATCGGGACTTCTTTCGAGGGAGCAAATAGAGTACTGGCCGATTGTGATGCACTAAAATGTTCTTTATAAGCAAATGTAGTTTCATTATATTTATCACCTGTAACAATACTTTCGATATGGACAATAACTTATGTCTCGTCTACTTCGGTCTACACAGTTTCTAAGCTGCATGATTGTCAATCAAACAAGCCTGACCTTGGTTGCCAAGATTAAATGATCTCAACATGAAAATTGCAAACTTTATTACGTATAAAAACGCAGTATATTCTAATAGAAGCGGCTCAATAATTATCCCCAATTATTTGCATAACCACACTTGACATCTCGGTTTGTTTGTTACAAGGAAATGTTTTATCCTACTTATAATCCATAATAGCAATTCCATTGAAGAACGAAATGGAATTCTTTCACATTGGATATTGGAGGTAAACGTGCGACACGTAATGCAGCACAAACCAGAAAATGATTTCATAACAAAGTTGGTGGATTCGATGCCGAAGAGACTTGAAAAATTTCTAATTAACAAGGGCAGACTAATCAACTATTAGTGTACAGAAACTGTACACCTTAATTATAACCAATGTTAATTTGTTATAAATAAAAAGTATTCCATTCTCTCTAGTTATCTCTTAATGCAACATGGTCTATGGGTCAACCACAACTGATTAAATGGGAGTATCGGCTACATTCTGAACCATTCCATCTGCTGGTAATGAACGAATCAGGAAAAGCACGGCTATACGGACTCATCAAGGCTTGTTTATTATTACTTGGTGAAACATTTACTTCAATGTGAATGCTGTTGCCTATACAAACCCTTAGGGTGTTTTACAGGGACCCGTTGCTTCAGTTCCCATTAGACCTGTCTAACATCCCTCTTACATCCTTTCACATGATAGGCCTAGCTCGGCGGAGGAAGATAATATGGATATCAATCTTCCATTTCTGTCCACAAGACATCCAAATTCCACTTGACGTATATCGTTCTGGACCTGACGAAAGGAATTATGTGCTACAAACCAAGATACCTCGTTTTAAATGCATTCATTTTCAGACCCATTCTTTTCAGGTTTGATACCACCGTTCACTTTCAAAGAGTCTCTCGACTGTTGACGCATCGTGGAATCGAATAGCAATAATTTGCGAAAAAGTCTATCCGGACTAGCGCTCACCGGTTTGCGTCCCACACCAGTAGTAGAGGACCTATTCCAACTGGTTGTCCTGGAGAAGTGTCAGTCATTATCACCAGTGGTTACTATTTGTAATCCTGGCACAGGGTACACGTGGATAGCACACTTTTACAGCATTGGTATATAAAGGTGCTTGACAAAGAGGGACCTTCTTGTCTTCAGCAAGACAAAATTTGATTCTGAATTCCTTTCTACCTATCAAAAATACCTTTCACAGGCTTCGGAACATTTCATAAGCCATACAAATCCTAATCTTCTTCTGCGATCAGTAAGACTACGTTTAATTCGTGGAGAATCCAAGAACAGGCCGTTGCAGTGGTGCTGTCCAGGGTTGATGTTAAATCATATTCCTGCAACTTTTCTCAATCCCTAGTCATTTGACCTTCCGGTTGTTTTATGGTGTTCCTCAGTCATTGCAGTACGCGATAGTCTGCTGTACATTTTAGTGCTTTTCCCCGGAAGATATCGTCGCGAAAGGTTGATGAACTATGCGGATCCTGTGATAACACGACTCCAATAATAACTATAGTCCCTGGAATCAACAGATGTTGCAAACCATTGTTTAGTTACATGTTTACTCATTTTTATTTTTATATTTGATGTGATTACCATGACAACGAGATCCTAACAACAACGCACCTTATCGTAATTGGTCATAACCCATTCAATTCATCTGATTGAATCTTCGTGGTCTAATGCTGATGCAAATCGGTGATTTTGGCTACGTCTGGATATTGATTCATTATAGCATACCAACAATTAAATACCCGCAATAGATCGATTATCAATTAGTCACTCTGTTAGATCCCATTAGCTGTCATTATTTTGCTCACGGTTTTTCAACTACCGAATAGGCAGTGTTGCCTTGCATACTAGGCTCAACAGGGCAAGGCCATCAAAATGTCACATCCATCCATCCATCCATCCATCCATCCACATTGCTCTAAATAGCCCAAGATGATGGCCTTTTTGAAACGCGTAGGTGTGATTTGCTGGAGCCCACTGACCAGAAGGGGACCAAACGAATTATTGTGCTGTTTTCTTTTTAAAAATGAAATCGTTTTTCTTAATATATGCAATCGATAAATCAATTCGTTTCCCACATCAATTGTTTGCTGACGTGTGAATACGTGCATTTAAATTTAAGAAACATAGTGTATAAATGAAGTAAAATTGTTTGTAAGTAATCCACCTGGAGTAATTAAAAAGTTTTTTTCAAAAAGCCCGTCACAAACGTGACACACATCTTGTTTGCTATTGTGTGCGGTACATTATTTCCTTTGTTTATACCCCAAACACATTGCCACCCCAACGACACACTCCCATCGATCTCAAAATAACCTGCTCGTTTACAAATATTGCCCTATTACGCGTGCAGTGGTCAGAACACTCCAAAGATGGCGAAGTCTACCATTCGTATTGCTTGAACTACGACTCCGCTCTGAGCTATTTGGACAGTCTACGCAAAGTGGATCACTTCAATGAATTTGAGAAGGTAAGTGTGATTTATGCCTACTCCGGATGGTTCCATTAAATTGTGAGAGAATGCCGATGATCCAATGAACGTTTCCAGACCAAAGGATATGGCATACAGACCTCATTGGAATCATGTTTGGTTCACTCTGAGTGTTGTTATCGAAATTTGTGAATGGTGAGAAATTTCCATATGCTGGCATATCTGGAAATCATCTGGACGTATAACTGGTTCCGGTTCATTTTCACTCAAATTAACATGGAAGATAAACCGCCCGATTGACTGTAGAATCATTATGTTACTTGTTTTCTAGACATCCCAACTAACGAAATTTCTTTATCAAAGGTTCAGTCACTTGGAAAAGATATCGACTAAAGCAGTTCGACTGCTTCCATTAACATTCAAGTGTCTAATTTTACAAACTCGTAGCCATAAGAGATGGTATCAATGTGGTTTTTTTCGTTCCAGGTTTGGTTAGAAATAGAAAAAGGAATAATTCAATATGTCTCAATAAAGCTCTCCAGTTTTGAAAAGAACATACAATGTGGTATTTGCAGAAAATTGTTTTACTCAAAACAATACAATGAGTTGACAAAAATGGGCATAGACCAACATCCAATAGCGTCAAACATTGTTTTAAACTAAAACTGTAGTAACTGACTAGCATAAACGGACGGCCAACATCTCACTCTACACGCCTCCTCTCTTCACTGCATGTGGATTATAAAATGACCCTTTTTTCGACTGTACTAAACTGTACCTACATATTTCCAATATCCAATGATTTACTATAGATTGTTCCGAATTTCAATCCATATTGTAGATTGATATGTTCGTCAGTTTGTCGATGCGGAACTTGTGCATTTTCAATACGTGATGAATGCATTCTCTGTAGGTTCACCAAACCGCAAAACATAGCAATACCATCACTGTCGTATGTACATAGTGGTCTATATTATTGCATAACAAGGACACCACCAAAACGAAAAGTTGATGCGTGGGAAATTTATTGCACACTAGCACATGAGGTTAACACGCGTGCATCAGAGAAGGGTTTCAAAAAAGTGCCTAATATGTATAGCGTCCTATAGAACCTCGTTGTATCACACATACGTCTCTGGTTGCAGTGAATTTGTAATTGCGTGATCTGATCTACGAGATTGATTTCTCTCAGATGAACAATGGAAATTAGTCTACGACCCATCATATCACGATTATCGATTTTGATTCGACTCAAGTGTTGTGGGTTAAATACATAACGAGTTCCTAGATATTTTCGGATTGAGAGAAGTTAATTTATTGAGTTTCCAGTTATTCAGTGCTGATATACGAAAACACGGCACGTGAATAGATCTGGGAGTTGCAGCCAATAACTTGGCCTCCCACAGTCAGAGGGGCCGGGAGGCCGTTACGTTCCGTTTGATCTGCAACAAAGAACAATCCATTCCTTGAAAAAAGTAACACGGGAACATTCGAACATTACAAATACAATACTCCTTTGTTGCTGATTAGAGTAACCAGTAAAAATGAAAAAAAACGAATCCATTGCGAGTTGAAATTTGTCCTGGATCAATAAAAGACTTACTGGGAAATGTACTGAGAGACCCCAGATCATCTGAAGATGTTAACTTGGCCAAACTCCATAGAGCGAAACCGTATATGCACGCACCATGTACGTTCAGCATTCTGGATTTGCACGGACATTTATCACCGCGTTCTGGTCGCTTAGAGAATATATGTTTTCTTATGTTGAACCCATTGCAATCATTATAACCACTTGATTTGGACAAAAAATGCAAGTGTCGGCAATTATAATTTCACCTAATTTGCTGTATTCTAAAATAAACTAGCAGCAGAAATGAACGACATAGTTCGATACGCCCCGGGTGGAACAATTGATCCGTACTGACCAACCCAGTTGATCACTCTTCGACTAACTCAGTTAAATATATTAGAACTGCCTATGCTCTTTCATATGTCAATTTAAGTTTACCTCCGGGGCCCCTTATGCGAATTCATTCAAACACATCAAAGATTATTAGGCATGTGACAAATGGAACGGGACAATGAAGTGGGAAAGACAGTATACTCTGAGGAAGGTAACTCAACATTCGTCCTTGATTTGTCGGAGTCGAGCCTCGAAGTCAGTCAGAATAGGGACACCTGGTGCAGGTGTCATTTGCTTTCTCAGTTCGGATCAACTTATTCCAAAACATCCCGAAACAAATTCAGGCACAAGATTCACTCTATTTAGGTGATCATCGTTGGCCTACCGGAATTCGCTTCTCCTAGGTGAACAGATATTTTTGTGCCGACTACCACAAACAAACCCACCCACCTATCCAAAAAGGCAACCAACGTCTCCTTCTGTGCAGGAGCTGGAGGAGTGAGGTTTCATGCCCGCACTATTTGCTTATAAAGATAACTAGCCTCAGGGTGCTTTGGTCAAACTAAAACCGATTTGATCAGCTACCCAGTGATCAAAACGGTAGTAATTTTACAATCTACATTTGAGGTCCCGGATTCGATCCTCCGAAGGGTGACCGTATTCGTACCGCCAGGGCATTTGGGCAGTAATTTCCTAACCTTTTAGTCCACACCTTGACCACAATCAAGCTGATCACTGGGGCAAATCAAAATCCATCCACTGTTCCCGTCCGGAACTGCCAGTGTCATCACTCCGAGACTACATGTTTACTCAACAACAAAAACCTAAATTAACTGCTAACGAGGCTAACGAGAAATAAAATGTTTTTTTTGCTTTAAATGGGGAAATCATGTGATTAGCCATGTCCCATCGTATACCCAAGGGGCAAATGATGCGCGGATGAACATGTTCCCAAAATATAAGAGCCGAAGGGCGGGGGGGGGAGTGCGCGAGACAATGAACAGGAGAGATTGTGTTTGGAAGCAACGGGAACCGGGGGTGGGAGTGTATGTGAATGAGTGAGTGAGAGAGGGAACGAGAGAGGAAATGGGACAAGGCATCTCAGAGCATCGGCGATACCGGAACGTGATGGATATCGGTGACCGGGGATTAACAGGTGTGCAACTAACAGGTCGCAACTAATTAGGAGAAATGTGGAAAAGTGGTGTGTATGCCGACCGATATCGAAAAGAAACACGGCAACCCTAATCACATTAGGTGAAAACAATTGATCAGTGGAAATCCTTGGACAGGTTCATGTTAGCCTTGACACTCTGGGGAAATAGCAATAGTTATGTGAATTTTGTGTTTACATGAGAGGCATGATGTATACTGAAGAAATAAAGTCAGTGAGCTCACAGATATACATAATCCGTGACCACTGCAAATGAGAATACTTTAGGGGACAGCCCGATGGCATTGGTGCACAGTAGAAGCGGATTAAGCCTGTGGGCAGAATACCGAATGGTGTAAATCAAAGTTGAGCGATCCCGATGGAACGTGAAATTCACAAACCTTACACTTTTGTAATATATAACAGTGAATTTCAACACACATATATATACTGATGGAGAGGTACAACATGTGCATTCTAGTGTTTTGGGTGAACTCAGACAAAGTGGGGCATATTTGCCGCGGAGCGCCAAAAACGGTTTATAACTTCGCTATACTCCCGGACGTCCAGTCGCTGCATTCTAAGGTAAACTCTTAAATGAGGAGTATTCTAATATAGTACAATATGATTATATATATATATGATAACTTAAAGACGAAAGCAACTGCACTCACAGCTCTCCGTCCCAAAAAATGCCTTTCATGGTTTAAATAAATACATAAATAAATAAAACGAGGATCGTGCACGTTACGTTGCATTAAGCTTATATTGAAGCCCTCTCGTGTCATTTTAAGGGTCGTTTATATGACTGTTGTTTACTTCATGTGGATACTTTGTCCGACGGAATTCTTTCTAGTTGATCATAACTAGATCTGACAGTGATTAAAGTGGAGGAATAGTAACTAGATAGGTCAGGGATAAGAAAATGGGGGGATACCACAAACCTTAGGCGCAACCATATCCAAAGAATAGCTCTTCAGTGGATCAAGAAAATTAAAGAGAAACATTTTCGTATGCTAGGAAAACATTGTTGAAAGCCACGGGACCAAAAAGTGAAATTTCCCCCGTCTGAACTGCTTCAGATGAAAAATACTTAGAATTGATTCACATAATTTGCCAATTCAGAGCTGAGCATTAGAAGATCGTGTTGGACGATAATCTGTGATAAGTTGATGACATTCACCGAAAAGTGTTTCTGTTAAACGCGAAGAGCTATTTGCTGAGAATTTTTTCA